AGGTTTAATAAAACAGCTTCACAAAATAAACATATACAGGTGAGTGTAAACAAAATACATATGCATTTAATTAAAGCATTTAATGAAAACATTAAAGCAAAACCTCCCCATGCCATTTAAGGTATAGAGAACCCTACACTGAAAAAGAATTATTCCCCGCTGATCATTAAAGCTTCAAGCTCCAAGACCACCTCTGCAGAATCTCGGCTCCTCTGTTTTTCCTCAAAACTCACTCTCTGCAATTCTACACTCTCGGCTCACTCTCTCTTTCTATACTGCTTACCCAAGTCACATGACAGATACATATATAGGAAAATGCACCGACTTCACAATCAAAATATCAAACATAATTATAACTTCAGTAGACCCCGCTACCCACCTTTTCTTCTTCCTTATCTTCTCATTTCTTATCTTCACTTTCCTAATATAACACTTAACAACTCCATCGGCCACAAAAAAAACCAAGACCACGTGAACAATTCAAAGCCAAAAAATTTGGTTCAACAAATCTTCTGTGGGCCCGTGACTACATCACACCAACTTCCTTTTTCTTTTTCTCTTTCCACCCACTTTCGACGCACAACACAATCACCTTTCTCACCTTTTTCAATTATTTTCATTTCACAAACAAGGAACACAATCTCACCAAATAAAGCCCACGTGAAGCCAAAGACAAATAGGACCCACACCATCGTTACAATCCATCTTTATCTCTTTTATCTCTTATCACCATAAGATACAATATATATATACAACAAATACCAATAAAAAAAACCAATTCACACTCTTCTCTTTTCGTGGGTCCGCACATAACCATTCCCAATTCATCTTCCAACTCTCCTCTTCCATTAGATTACACACACACACACACACACACACATATATAGAAAGAAAGAGGTATATACAAAACAAATCAACTTTTAAAAAAATCGGAAAGAGAAAAAGAAAAAGGAAGTTGGTATGATGTAGTAGCGGGGCCCACAGAAGATTTGTTAAACCAAATTTCTTGGCTTAGAATTGTTCACGTGGTCTTGGATTTTTTATGGCTGATGGAGTTGTTAGGTGTTGTATTAGGAAAGTGAAGATAAGAAATGAGAAGATAAGGAAGAAGAAAAGGTAGGTAGCGGGGTCTACTGAAGTAATAATTATGTTTGATATTTTGATTGTGAAGTCGGTGCATTTTCCTATATATGTATCTGTCTTGTGACTTGGGTAAGCAGTATAGAAAGAGAGAGTGAGTCGAGAACGTAGAATTGCAGAGAGTGAGTTTTGAGGAAAAACAGAGGAGCCGAGAGTCTGCAGAGGTGGTCTTGGAGCGTGAAGCTTTAAGGATCAGCGGGGAATAATTCTTTTTCAGTGTAGGGTTCTCTATACCTTGAATGGCATGGGAAGGTTTTGCTTTAATGTTTTTATTAAATGCTTTAATTAAATGCATATGTATTTTGTTTACACTCACCTATATATGTTTATTTTGTGAAGCTATTTTATTAAACCTCCATGAAATTCTTGTTATTGTTTTTCCTACTGGGACTTTCAGTCTCACCATCCTCCAGTTTCCGGTACCGAGGATGAACGGGGATTGCTAGAGACAGGCTTAGGATGAAGAGTTGGCGTTGCGACTTTTATTATTATTATTTAGAGAATTTTGTATATTTTTTTTGAGGTCCTAGGTGTATTTTGGTGTGTCTGATTTTGTATAAATTGAGGATTCTATTAGAATTTCCGGGGCGTGACAAAATGGTATCAGAACATTTTCTTAGAATTTTCAGGTCATGACCAAAACCTCCACACTCTCGAGTAAGAGTAGCCTCACCTGGGAATAAAGGCTTCGAAAATTGAGAACAAACCCTAGCAATAGACATCTTTCCTCTGCAATGTATAGGCAATCCAATTAATCAAACCCAAATAGGAACTGATCCCAAAACCTCTTTCTCTAAATTCACATTCTTCTCCCAACGCTTAAGAATCATGGGGCGACCTTGATACATATGTATCCTCTGCAAGATATTATGAACAGCTTCAGCATTCTCGAATCGTATCATGAAAAAAACCCCTGGTAGAGATTCCAATTTCATCACACCCACAGACTTCCATATACGCTTCAAAAAATCATTAAAGTGTGGGAAGTATGGCCGTTTTTCCACCACGTAACCTACAATTGAATGTTTCCAATATTCTACTTCTTCTTCAACATCCTCATCCAAGATTTTAATCACCTTTGCACCTCGGCATTCTGGTATATAAGGTAGTTTTTCCATCTTTTTCTGTACTTCGACATCAAATAACTTCTTCCACGATGGAGGAGATTGACCCTTTTCCTTGTCCAGAACTGGTGCATGAGGATTACTAGCCCCCATCAGCGTGATAAAGGAGGAAGGACCCTCCCCCATAACTGTCAAACCCATTAGTCCTCGCCGCCAGCCGTCGTTGCCAGAACTATAGCTTTAGAACTAGTAACTACCGAAACCTTGAATCGCCCAGTTTAGAGAGAAAAAAAAAAAAAAAAAAGGTACTACTTAATATTTTACTTTCTAACAAAATTTAATTGAATTGTGGTTTTCTAATAAAGTCACCGCCATCAATAAGATGAATGACTTCTTATGTTGAAATGTCTTCGTGCAATGCGAAATTAGTTTTTCAATTATTTGTGAAACGGCTTTATGTGATATACTTTACACAAAGTTAACATGAAACCAAGCTCCCTTACTAAAGGGATTAGACGAGTAAAGCTCAAAAAACTAGTTCCCTTACTAAAAGGGCAACCTGAGTAAAGCTTGTAAAATTCATTCCCTTATCAAAGGGACGAGCTGAGTAAAAGTCGTAAAACTTACTCCCCTACCAAAGGGACGTGCTGAATGAAGCTCGTAAAACAAGTTCCCTTACTAAAGGGATGAGCTGAGTGAAGCTCGTAAAATCTATTCTCGTATCAAAGGGACGAGCTGAGAGAATCTCGTAAACCTTACTCTCTTGTCAAAGGGACGAACTGAGTGAAACTCGTAAAATCTATTCAGTAAAAATTATAAAAAAAATAAAACAGATATCATACTGGATTCGCAAAGGAAATCCAACCGTACATCACTAAGATATGTTGATCGTGGGGTTCGAACCACGCCCCTACGAAACAAAACCTTGATTTGGTATCTGTGTTACTTCATCTCGAGAATAGTAACCTGAAAAAGGAAGGAAAAAAAATCCCACCTCTAGAATAGTACCCCGAGGGACTGTTCACTGCAGGAAAATTTCCCAAGGTGGACTCCCGATTCAACATGGACTATTCACCCCAGGAAAAGTACCCAATGTGGACTGTTCACCCAGGAACGTTACCAAGGTGAATCGGACAGTCCACCTGAAATATTTTGGCAAGGTGGATACTATTTTTTTTTTTTTAAAGAAAAAAAAAATTGGCAACGTTCCCGAGGTAGTGCCTCGGGACGGTACCAGGGTGAATTGGACTGTCCACCTTAAGTATTTTGGCCAGGTGGATGTCGCAAAAAAAAAAAAAAAAAAAAAAAAAAAAAAAAAAAAAGGTTAATTGATTCTGAGCTAGTATTTCCTGTGTCTGAAGTGGACTCGGAAATAGGGGGTATATGATAAGATATAATCTACCTAGAGTTGACCAAGAGCGACGGCCAAGCAAGATAGCTACATAGTCTATTTTAATTCCTGATTTGAGGGAGTAAAGATAACAATAAGATAACAATTTAGGTCGATTGAGGTGAACGTGGAAGATCACCTAAAAAGATCAACCCGAACTATGTGATCTACATGGGGGCACTCTCAACTGAACTCAGGAGACAACCATAAATAGGGTAAAGAGCTAATCAAATGGGGCATGAGACAATTAATACATAAAATTACTGCTATTACTTCAGAATTCTGGTAATTGACTTGATCGTCAGAGAACTCTTGACAGACACATATCGGTGTCAGTCAAGGTTCATCTCTTTTCTTTGAAGGAAACAATGTCGTCCCATATCATAATGAATTTCTCTTCAACAAAAATAAAGGAGAAAAAAAAAACACACAAAAATATAGCATTTCAACAACCATAAATACTGAAATTGAATAAAAACTTATTTGGTCTATCCAATAAATATAAAGACGATTAAAAAATATATATATATGGCATTCTAAGAATCGTACACGTATGCTACCATTATATAAGTTCACTGTTAATTTAATCCTGATTGGAGAAGATAAGGAAGGATATGAAGGATGCTTGTTAATAGTAGTTATTTCTAGCTTGAAATTTAAATTGGAGAAGATAAGGAAGGATATGAAGGATGCTTGTTAATAGTAGTTATTTCTAGCCTTCTAGGGCCTCGGGGTAACCTATATTCTTTATCGAAAAATGTTAGGTCCACAGAAAACCACGTTCTATGCTTTAACTAAATTATCAAATCTACAGTTCAACTGATTATTTTAGTATTAATTCGTTTCATATAGGAATTTTTTTTTTTTTTTTTTTTTTCCTTTAGCAGGAGAAAAAATCACTAGCTTACCGTTCTTGTTTCATTTAATATATGGTTGCTAATGTATAACATATATAAAATGAGTAAAAAAAAAATTTATTTGGTTAATAATTTTAAACTCATTAAAAAGGAATTTGTTATGATATAATTGTTTTTATAATTTTGTTTAAAACTAGTTATTTATTTATTTTTTTGTGTTCTTTAAAAAACTATTAGTAAAAAACTAAACCAAATATATCATTAATATTTTTTTTTAAGTACTTCGATAACTTAATGAATTAACGTCTTCCTAAATTTTGAAATACCAAACATCTATTAATCTAACAATTCTTGACATGTAAAATATATATATATATACTTTTTTTAGCAATTTTGTTTCATGAATTGTAGTAGTAGTATTATTTTAACAATTTTCCTAACAGTCACACCCACTTTCTTCAAACAGATGCTTTAACCTTTTTAGGCAATTGTTGCAAATTGCTATTGAAGGCATGTCTTGCTATATAAAGAAAGCTACTTTTCTTGAGGTGCCATTCCAATTATTCCCAGCCACTCACTCTTTCTTTCTCTCTCTCTAATTTTCTCTCTCTAGAATCCACATCTTTCTCCCCAATTGGTGGGTTTTGGGAGTAGCAATTGGTGGGTTTTGGGAGTAGCTGTTGTGATAAAAGGTAAGTTCCTAGCTCCAACATTCTTTTGTCACTCCGAGAAGATGAACACTAATTAAATTAAAACCCACTAATCCTCCATTATTGTGGCTGTTTACATGTTTTTTTTTTTTTTTTTACCTACAATAGGTTTTCTCACCTAGATCTGAGCTGGGTCACTTTCTCTAGGGTTTCTACTATGTTTGGATACACATTTTATGTGGGCATTATAATTATAGACTAGATATGAACATGAAAATTAATATATGTGAAAAAACTCTTTTATTTTTTCTTCTCTTTCTCTCTCTCTTTTTTCGAGTGTAGGTTAGGAATGGGGAGAGAGAAGATCAAGATCAGGAAGATCGAGAACTTGGCGGCGAGGCAGGTGACCTTCTGTAAGAGACGTGGAGGGGTTGTCAAGAAAGCTAAGGAGCTGGCTGTTCTTTGTGATGCCCAAGTTGGTCTCATCATCTTCTCTGCAACCGGAAGGCTTTTCGAGTATGCCAGCTCAAGGTATATATGTCAATCTATATATATATAACACCAGACATATGCGCACGCACACTTAACTTATTATTGTTATTTTTTGTGTGTGTGTTTAGTTTGTGACACTACTTCAACTTAAATCCACTTGATATATCATCATTTACTATAGACAAGAGATTTGCGTCTTACCTACTAGGTCAATGGCATATAGATGTAGAATTGTTTATTATTATTATTATATGAGATAGCTGAACCCTAGTGCAGAATTGTCTCTCTCTTTTTTTTTTCTTTTTTTTTTAATCTTAAATTTTTAAGATATGTACGTTTGTAGATGCAGAATTGTCTTAATTTTTCTCTTCCAATCCCTTTAGACCATTTCCTATATCAAGGTGAATATTATGGAGTTGCTACTGTCCACACAAAACTAAATCTTTTTGTTTCAAAAGTTACCTAGCACTTACCTACCAAAAACAAAGTTACCTAGCACTCTAAAACTCAATGTTAGGCCTAATCCTACGATAATTGTCACAAAAAGTCCTATTTTCAAATCAAGACCCTCCATCGACTGTGCCTTAGGAGGGTAGGCACAAAGCCAAGTGCTGTTACAACGGATTAAACAAAGATAATAGTAGTATCTTCAAATTGTTGGAACAACATTGATCACAAAAAATGACAATATATCTGAGTGTAAGAGGAGATCATCACATAAAGGCAATTATGAGATAAATAATAATATTTCAAAATAACTCAAATCAAGGGTTACAGATGAGTAATCACCTCAAAATTTCTGGAAGGTAATTCAAGTCTTTCTTTGGTGCACGTTGAACTCAAGACCTCTTGTGCAAAATGAAAACTATAGGTCTCTACTTACCAATTAGGCAACTTGTTATCCCTATTATAAAAAAGGGAACTAATATATTTAAAGAATATTAATTGGTCGTATTTCCTTATATAATTAGTTAGAATGAGTTGAGAAAGCGAGGTTTCAACCGGTGTGTCCAACTGAACTAATAACTAGGACTCAGAGGTCTCTTCTTTTTAGGAGATTTATAAAAAGCAAATATATATAATTTCAAAACACGTTCCAACAAGCGCGCCATCTAATGATTCTCTAAATTAAGTGATATCTCCTTAATTCTTTCTTTTGAAATGAAAGGTGAAAGTTCTCCAATACTTTTACGGTTGTAAATAAGAGTAAGGAAATCACATAGCCCATTACACTTTTCTGGCATAGAGAGACGTTTGAATCGGTTTATACCATTGACAAGTGTCTATTTTGAACCGGTCACTCTCTCTTGATGCGGCCGTGTAAGTTCATTTCTGGTCTCATATCAGTTAGTGCAAATGTAAGACTAGAAGTTTGTCTTCTTATTTTGTAACTCCCCACTCATATGGACTTCTAGATCTCTGTCTTGTGCAAGTAGTTTCCACTCATTAAATCGTCGTTCCTCAGCATGTCCAAATATACTGGTGTCGTGTTTTTATCCTTCCTAATAAAGTCAACAAACAAGTAAACCAAATCCTTAGCTCAGTTTTGTGGTCATTCCAAGCCTAAAATTGCATGGAGCTCAATTTGTAATTCTAAGTTTGAAGGTGGCCGGCCTTAGATTTATTCATCTTACAACTTGTAATCAGGCTCTTATATGGCTTATTTGATGTCTTTTCTTCGATTTTTCAGGTAGCTTATGGTTTATGTGGACTAATTAAACTTTCCTTGAAAATATGAGCTTTTAGGACATTAAAATCCTCTTAGTAGCTCCAAGTGTCATGTACGAAATTTTTTAACCTTAAACCATATCCACTCACCTTTAGTTTGACCATTGGCGTCCTCGTGACCTTTTTAGACTCTGAATCAATCACTCCAACACATCCAAACTCCCCCATTAGTTAGCATGCTAAGGTTAGTTGCCTCATCCACAATCCTCTCCTCTAATTAAGTTGGTTCTAGACTTTAGGGACATATATCTCATCATACCCCCTCGAAACTTTTCAAGGAATGACATATAATGCATGGGTATCTGATACGCCTCGAGCGTGTGCACAAAATAATGCACAACACTTTGAGTTTAGAAATAGTGTCAAGTGGGCATCATACTTTATAATTTATAAAACCGCTTAACACCTATACTATGTAGTATGAAGTGAGAAGGGATCGTCCCACGAGATTAAACACGTAGTTGGAATTTTAATTTCGACTTTAGTGATTCAAAAGATTGCAAAGGAGGTTGGTTTAGTTACTTAAACTATTTCAATTAATTAAATTGCAAATACAATAAACTAAGTTGAGATAGGGATTTAAGAGATGAGAAGATAGGCTTAGGGCGTTGGAATTGCCACCAAGCTCGCTCACCAAACCACACACTTTCAACTAATTGGGGAAACCCACCTTGTGAACAAAATGCGACTACCAATTATGATATTAAGCATGAACCATCAAATTCAAGTGTGAATTGTCTACCTAACCAACAAGTAAACTAATGTGTAGCACAACCCATCAATTCTAAGCATGACCCATCAAACTGGTAACAATTGTAGTACACATCAATCTAGAGAATTATAGAATTTGCAATAATAAGCCATGGAGTATCAAATTCAAGCATAGATTGTCTGCCTAACTAACAAGTAAACTAAATGTAGAACAACCCATCAAGCATAAGAATAATCTATCAAATTAATTAACAAACCCATCTAATAAAAACCATGCCTAGCCATCACTAAATTCTTAATTAATCATACATGGACATGCAACTGACATAGAGAATCTCGTGTAGAAATCAATTCTCAAATAATCACACATAAGACAATATGTAATCACATAGAGAATCAATAGAAATAATTAATCCATAGAAATCAAAGGAGAACCCAAGATTCATTTTATACACAACGCTATAACACTAATCACAAGATAAATTCTCCAAAAAGTTAAAAAAGAAGGGTTTAGATTTAGAAACTTGGGGTTCATCCAAGCCCCAAGGAGACGTCTAGCCAATCATGGAGGAGGTGGGTGTGATTTTGGAACCCTCAAGGGCTATCTCCAAACATGGCTCTATCTTCTTCCTCTTCTTCTTTGATGAATTCTAGAGAGAGTGTGTGTAGATCTTCAAGTGTGTTCTTGGTGCCTCCATTCTCTTCTTTTCCCAAAACCCTAATCTCTAATTTTTCGAGAGAGAGAACATAAAAAATTACAATGTAAAATAAAACTAGCTAAAAATCCTTTACAAAATGGTTCAATTCCCTTTAAATACAAGCTCCTTGGAGTAGTGAACAAGTCAGAAAATGGCCTTCTCATTGGTTCAATCTCGCATCCATGTGGTAGGTGAAGTTTAGGCCAACGCGGGAATAAAACAGTTCGCTGCCAGCAACTTCTCGATCGATCTTGGATACTGGCGATTGATCGCCAATTCCCGCGATCGATCGAAGGCTGCTGCTTTGCCATTTTTTTGACTTTTTTTGGATTTTCTCGATGCATTTGCTCGACTCCTAAAAGGCTTTAATAACCAATTTTTAGCTTATTTGAACCTTATTGACCTGAAATAGACAAAAACACAAATTATAACAAAAAGGGGAAAGTAAAATAGATGAATAGACTAAAATACCCTAACTTAGGTGCTAAAATGTGCAACATTTGAGCACTTATCACGCCCCCAAACTTAGATATTGCTAGTTATTAGCAATGAACTACAAAGCAACGAAAGGAAAGAATAACTAAAAAACTATGAACTAGAAAGCAATAAAAGGATAACGCCACTTTCGTAGGGAACGCGGTTGCATTTAGCATATGTAACAAGCCTTTTGAACCCCTAGGTTACCCCTAATGGACGAGTGAAGTCTCATGAGGGTTTCCAGAAATGATACCCACAAACATTAAGCTCTTTCTCACTTAGGAGGCACCAACATTCCAAACAAGTATTGAAAGAAAACTATCTCAAGTATGCAATTTTTCAATCACCTCTAAGCAATTTCCAAACTTCCAAAAACAAGCAAGCAACATCAAGCAAGATAATCATGAAAATCAAATCAACTGTAGCATCCTTTGGAATGAACCGGAATCAAATATGTTACTATCTTATCAAATAAATGAAATGGGCACAATCGGCCTCAAACTAGCGCACAAATCAAGTACCAATCATCAAGATAAAGAATGAACCTCTTTATTTCAATTTATTTCCTACATGCTTTCTTTTTATTTTTTTTTCACTTATATATATATATATATATATATATATATATATATATGATCAAATATAAGAGTATGGTGCAATGTAGTGATCTCTTAAGCTTTCTAGAAGATCCATTTAACAAGCGTTAGGTCAATGACTCCCAAACTGGACGGCTTTAGGGCATTAGGTGTAAAGACACCCGTAAGGACTTACAAGCTCAAATCAACTAGGCTACAAATCAAAACAACTCTCTTCTAATCATTTCCCTGCTTCCACCTTTGGTGAGAAGTGCTCACTTATTTGCTTTTGCAAATTCCACTTTCTTTCTTTCTTTCTTTCTTTTTTAACTATTGTGTAGGCCTTCACTTTTTGGCGCGAGAGTTCAATGCTTAATGAAGCTCGAATCCCGGCTACTCGGAAAAAAGGTTTGTTATTAAGCAAGTAAGGTCATCTTGTCAAAAATGAGAGCTTTGGAAGCTTACTTGCTCAATTGGGATATAAACATAACAATAATCAACTAAGCATGTACCCCACAAATGAATGTTAGTGTGCACATATGCAATTGTAGAACTCTATAGCCAATTCTCAAAGCATTCTCACAAACAAGATGATGTGGACCATAAAAGCAAGCATGAAATTAAACTTTTGAAAAATTTGCTCCAAAATGGTGTTCAAAGACATACAAGGAGTATTAGACTCTCAAGTCAAGAAACTTTTCAATTCAATAGAACATAAGCCTCAAAAGATCAAAATCATAACTAACATGGATCTCCAATCTCAATCATGCATTTAAAGATCAAAACTTTAAACATAATGCAACAAAATCACCTTACCCCCAAACTTAAACCGCACATTGTCCTCAATGTA